CGAGCGAAGTCTCCGTATCCTCGAGAAATGCAGCCATGAGTTTCTGCGCCATGCCAATCTCGGTCTCGCGCTGCTCGTAGTGGCCGTCCTTCTTGCGCAGCATCGACGCTTTCGCCTTCAGCTGCAGGAGGGCGCCCTGGTTCTTGCGCAGCGTGGCCAAGATAATCCTGCAAGGAGAGGTTGGCGAAGGGGGGCATGAATGGAGATGAGAAGGGTGGTGGGGGGGCATGAGTAGGGAGGAAATGGCCCTGACGGGATGCATCTCCTTTTTCAGTGTCTCGATGGCCACTGACTCAGCGATCGCGCCACGCGAAGAAGAAGATGCGCTCCCAGGGGCATCGGTGATCTTTTTGAGGGCGGAAACCGAGCTCAACATGTTTTTCCTCTCGTCGGTGCTGGTCATGGTCTTCGTCATGTTCCTGTAGTAGTGCTGCGACAATAACGGCTCCTCTTCGTCGATGACACAGTGTGTTCTCGCCATCTGAGGGCCCAGGCCAAGAGCGATGTAATTTTGTTCTACCAAGCGAATGCACGCATCGCTGGCGCGCTGCTGTTGCGCCTGATCCATGGTGAACACGTTCGCGTGGATGCCGTTGAACTCCAGGATTTTCGCCCTGGGCAACGTTAGGAATCATAGCGCGCCGACAACAGACGCCCAAAAATGATTGATTCATGCCGGAGGGGTGCGGTTTGCTTATCCACTTTCTCTGGCTTTTTGAAAACAAAGTAATCAACTTCATTCCATCACGATATAACCTCTCCACATTCATTCTAGCGTAGGTGGAGGGGGGGCACAAGGGCGAGACTGAAAGATGAAAAGGGCAGCGGCGGGAAGGCGGAGGACGAGGCGCGATAGTGGAGGGGGTGGGAGAGAAGGGGGAGCGCACGATTGGATATCGTCGGCTGGAGAGCCTGGTGAACATGCCCTCCTGGTGGGAATGCGTCTCGCTCTCCTTCTTCTCGTGTGACTTAGTGCAAGAATGAACCCATTTCAAATTCTTGAAACCACCGTTGTTCTCCACATCAGCGATGAAACTGCGTCTGTCGCTGCTCCCGCCAGGCATTTCCAACCATAAGTCTAAGGCCTTCTGAGCGTTAGCGCGGGACTCTTCGGTGGCACCCTTCCTGTGGTTCGTGGCATGGTAGCGGAGCGAGTTCTCGAAGCTCTTCGCCGCTCTGGGATCAGCTGTCGCAACCTCCTGATCGGTCTCTGCAAGCGCCTGTTCCTGGTGGTCAGATGGCTTCTTCTCTTGTTTGGCCAGGAGCAGCTGGAACGTTTTGGCCGTCTCCTTCTCTGGCTTCGGAGCCAATGATGGGGGCGGCGCTGGCGGTGGAGATTTTGTTGCCGTGGGATGCGCAGGCGCTGCTTCAACTGGAGCCGCGGCGGGCCTCTTCAGCACTGGGGGATGCGCATCCTCGTCGTAATCCTCAGGCATCGCAGCCGCTGGACTCTCGGCCACCATATCTGCAATTCCGACGCGGATTGATGCTGCACGGGTGGGGAAGCTTGCAAGAAGAACGGCTGCGCAGATGCAGAGCGAAAATAACGTCATCGCTTGAGCCAACAAACAGCTACAGACAAGTCGGATCGCTCAGAAAACGATTGCGGATGCAAGCGCCGCGATCAAGCGAAACGACGCACTGACTGACCACAACAGATTGCCTATTGCGCGCACCGTAGACCGTTTAGGAGGCGGATGGAGAAGGAAGCAATCAGCCAACTCAAAAACCAAGTTCACGAAACTCCGAGTGACGAAGGCGATCGGGCCGAGCCTATCAGGTATAAGCCGAATGAGCCACCAACATCATACCATACCCTACCATACAGAATACCATTTAATATTACATGCTGCGAATAAAATGAACGGTGTGCATACACACACTGCTACACGTGGCAAAAGATTTTACCAGTAAAATGTGTACTGCTTGTTTTGTGAAGTAAAGAATTTTTACGGGTAAAATCTTTTACTTGCATATTGGGTCCTCTCATGGTGGCGCGTAGGGTATCACGTTTGCGGACAGAGCAGAAACCGACCCATTTGGAAAGAAAAGGGTCGGTTTCCATAGCGGCAAGCGCTGTCTAGAAACGATACTCGTTTGTAGCACGACCGACGGAACATGCAACGTGCAATTTAGATTCTGAAGCTATCCAGCATTGCACGCACTGTTTCTCATGAAAACGATGTGTTTTCAATCATGCGAAGCATTTGCCGTCAATCGTCTGCGATTTCTTCAGGAACAACTTGCGTCGCACTTGCACCGCATTTGGGTCTCTGCAACTCAAGCTGTGCGATCAGTTGCCCTGCTGCCTCCTTCTGAGGAGGCATACTACAATATGGCATGCAAAACTCTAACCATTCAGTATGCAACTCTATATCTGCCCTGCCCCGCCCCACTGCAGGTCCCATCGCGGGGGGGGTGGGGGCTTATTTTCAGGCGCCGAAGGTGGCGAAGATTCAAGGGGCGCGCCCCCTTGATTCAGTGCAAGCGGACATGGAAGCTCTCACTCCTTCCTGTTTCTTTCTGGGGCGTGGCGCATCGTAATTGGCGGCGTCACTCTTGTCCTGGAGCCGCCTACGAGACGGCGCTGATCCGCTCCCGCTGCCGCCGTGTTCGTTATCTTCGTCTGAGGGCTGCTTGACGTTGCTGGGGAAACGGAGACAACCTCCGACGACGGTGCAATTCTCGTCGGCGTCGGCATGGGTTTCGTGCTTCGCGGCAGAACCAGATTTCGCTGCAGCGCGAAGCCCGTCGCTCGACTCGATCACTGGCAACGGCGGAAGAATGAGAGGAGCGATTGGCGCTACTGGTGGAAACTGCTGCTGCCCCGCAACTGGCGCTGCCACCAATGGAGGCGGTGCTGCTGGCGGGATCGGGATCGGCGGTGCGAGCGGCGCTGCTGCTGCCATCTGCTGCTGCATCTGCTGAAGCTGCTGCATCTGAAAATCCTGCATATGTTGCATCTGAAGCTGCTGCAGCTGCTGCGTGATCGCTCCTGGGTCCGAAGCTGCCGCCCCCGTCGGCTTCGGAACGGGATCGGGGGCTGGCTGCTCTGCTTGCGGAGGCTCTAGCCATTCCTGCGGGGCCAGCTGTTCAGCAGAAAACACTTCGCGCCCCTCCATCGCCTTCACCGACGAGATCCACCTGCGGCGGGGGGGGGCGGGCGCGCTCGCTCTCTGTCTCTTTCTCTGTTTCTCTCTTTCGTTACCTCTCTCTCTCTCTCTCTCTCTCTCTCTCCCTCTCTCTCTCTATCTCTCGCTCTCTCTGTCTCGCCGCCTCTCTCTATCACTACTCCTCGTTCTTGGACACCCTTCCCTTCCTTCCTTCGTTGCCCCCCTTCTCCGCCTCAATCCTGCATTTCCGACTCTCCACTCCGTTGCCCAATCAGCTCTCCTGCAAATGAGAGCAAATTGTCTGGCGGGCCCAATGGCCTGCCGCGCGCCTGGCCCTTGTTCTGCTTCCTGCGTTTGATCTGCTTCCAGGGCCGCGCATTGCTCCCGTTCGTTGACATGGCATCTAGCTCACTGGTGGTGGTCCGACCAGTCTGCCGACAATGCGCTGCAGGATACATCACCGCTGGAATGCTGCCGTGGGAATCCGCGGCGCCCTCCATGTAGGCGCGCCGTTGATCTGCTTGGCACTGCGGAGACACGCAGCCAACCCCGCCTCCCATCTAAGCGAAACAGCTGCATGTGTTGCAGTGCTTTGGCCCGTTCCGAAGAAACAAACGCATGGGCTGCCCCGCCCAAGCTCGGCCCTTCTCTGTCTGCTGCCAGCCGTCGCTCTGGGAGATGAGCCAGTGCACCTCATCGTACTCCCCCTCCTCCTCCTCCTCCTCGCCTGGCCCCTCCTGGAAATCAGGGCGCGTGCCCCTTCGGTCGTCGCCTCCTCCCGGTGGCGGAGCGTCACCTCCAGGCGCAGCTGCCATCATCATCGCCTGACCCGCGCGCGCGTGCATTCTAAAAACCTGCGCTGCTACTGCTACTGCTACCCCTGCCAACATCTCTGCTACGGCTACTTTCGCTGCCGCTGCTGCCCCTGCCAATGCCGCCCACGCCCTGCCCCTCCCCCGGGGACGGCAGCAACGCCGCCACTGCCGAGAGCAAGGCGAGCAGCGCCATCTGCGCCGCGGAAGTCGTCGAGACAGCAACTCGAAAGGTTGCCACTCGTCTGGCACCTTGCAGTCGGCGTGGCTGCGCGACAAAATTTGTTGTCAAAATTGTTCGAGGCACAGCAGGCCAATCCACCAGTCTATCAGTCAATAAATCAGACGACCAATCAACCAATCAACCTGCCAATCCTTAAGAATTGGCAGGTCGATTTATTGATTGCATCAATCAATCTACCGATCAATCTATCAACATGCCTATCAATCAATCGATCTATATATCTGCTATTTTTAATATTTCTATTGCTCTATACACAAATCCACGCACACCTACACACTAGACCAACGGCAACCGAAACCGAGCATCGAAAACGAAGGAGACCGTCCGCCAATAACGAAGCAGCCGCGAACGAGACGCGCCAGCCAAGCCGCGAACCGACGCAAACGCGGAGCCCGACTTCACGAGAAAGGAACCAGCCAGACGCAAGCCCCGAGGAGGGGAGGGGGGGGACCAGACCGCACCAGCGCTATGGCAATCTGTGGTGGCCAGCCAGGCGCGATCGCCTCATCGCAAGGCGCGGCGCCCCAGCGTCGCGGTCTCCCACACAGGGGGCCATTCTTTTCTGAGGAAATGGAAGGAGAGGGAGGGGGGGGATGGGGAGGGACGGAGAGGGAGGAGAGACAGGGAAAGAGAACGATAGACAGAGAGAGGGGGCGTGTACCAAGAGAAGGACATGTAGAAACACATGCACATATAGAAAAAGAAGAAGAGGGGAAGGGCGAGAGAGAGCGAGAGAGGGAGTGAGAGAAGAGAGAAAGAGAGAGCCAAGGCCGAGTACAAGAAGAAAACAACGAAGACTGCGTTGAAAAGGCCAGCTGGCTACGGCACCCACTACGTGGAGATGTTATACAAGGCGTCCTGGAGCATCGCCGTGCGCCAGAAGTTCGAGCCGAAGCGGCAGGCGGCATCCAGCGGGGGCGCCCGCTAGAAGGGCTGCGACGTGGATGCCGCGCGGGCCGTCGGCCGCGAAGCAGTGGCCTTGATGGATAAGGGCGAGCTTGACGAGGAGGGCGCAGCATCGTGGATGACCAGGAGGCTGACAGAGAAGTTCGGGAAGTGAGGGCGCGCTTGCCAGCCAAAGTGTGAAGCGCCAGTAGATCGCATTATATATGTTGCGCTCGAAGCGCCGCGGTTAATTTTCCCCTGGTTAATTTTCTCCTGCCTCGGTGAGCCGGCAGAGCCCCTCGGCGTTAATGTTATCCTGGTTAATTTTCTCCTGGCTCGGTGAGCCGACAACCGCGTTAATTTTCTCCTGGTCCGTGCGTTCTCTCTTCGCGCGCAGCAGGCTATGCGCGAGTGTCGCGCGACGTGGCCGACGTGCATCTCGCGAAAAAAGGTGCTCTCTAAAAAAAAGGCCTCCTGTGCAGGAGGCTGCCTCTTTTTGTTTCTCTCTCGCGCTCTCTCTCTCTCTCTCTCTCTCTCTCTCTCTCTCTCTCTTGCACTTGGTCTTGGCCCTGGGCTTGGGCTCGGCCTTGGGCGCCTCGGCCGCAGGCACCCCCTCCCCCTGCAAATCCTCGACATCGTACTCCTCGTCGCGTGGCCTCGCCTTGGCGGCCGCCTTGGCTTTATCCCTGGAAGCCCGCTTGGCCAGCATCTTCTCCTTCTCGTCGAGCAGGAGATTCGGCATCTCTGTGTGCACGTGGGCCATCTCGCCGCCTCCGAGGTCCGCCATGCAGAAGCCTCTGTCGCCGCGCACCAGAGGGTGCTCGCGCCTCCCCGAAGCGCCCTCGATAACGTACACGAGGGCATCATAGCCCACGTGCCCCTTCAACGTGGATGCGCCCTGGCGGAGTACAACGGGCGCGCGCGCGCCCTGTGCACGCACGCGAACATTTGCATAAACATAAACATGAACATACACGTGCATAAACATGAACATGAACATACATGTGCACAGTATACAAACATGAATATACAGATGCAGCGCTCCTGCACGTGCGCCGACGGACACGCACCTGGCGACAGCAAGTCCACTGTTGGTGGCGAGTCGACCATGTCCACGCAGGCCGGCGCCCCCTTCTTCTTCTCGGGCGTCTTGGTCACGAGCCTGCGCGGCGAGCCGCGCCCGTGCGCGCTGTAGATGTCCGTGCGCGACGAGGATCTCGCAGGTGCTGCTGCGGCAAAGACGCGCCGACCATCTGGCGATGACTCAGGGGATGGTGATGGCGCTGGCAGATGACTCGCTTTGCGCAGAAGGATCCTGGCATGGGGGGAAGCTCTCTCGCCTGTCGCCATGTTGCGCTCCTTGGCGCACACGTAACTCACAGCGTACGAAATCGCTTCCCCGTGCTTCTGTGCCTGCTCCTTCGCGAGCACCGTCTTGGCCAAGATAGCCTTGGTGAGCGGCACGTGACCCACCCTGCGGGTGACGCTCATCAGAGACCCCATCAAGCCCATGTTGTTCTTGATAGTGTACTCTGCATCGCCCTGCTCCGTCTTCATCGCCTCGATCTCGGCGACGCGCTCGAGCACGATGGCCTGCAGGTCATGGTCCGAGAGCTCGCACCTCGCGCGGGGCATGGCGGTGAACCGAAAACGCTGCACGCGCGGTGGTCCTCGAGCCGCAATGCCTTCGGACAGCGGGCGCGATGCTGCCCTGCTGAGGGGGCTAGCGATTGTTGCTGATACATGTGTCAACTTGTAGCCTGAGGCGATTTTTTGGAATGCGAGGAGGTGGGGCGGGCGGCGAAGGGGGGGGGGGGGAAGAGGAGAAAGACAACAGCAAACGATATACGAACATCATGGCTGTGCTCACAGACGCATGCATGACACGCGATCCCCATGGAACTAGCCAGAACCAACGCTAATCGTCAGCCCTAATTAGAGCGGAGTCAGCGCTACTCATGTAAGAGCGAATCAGTACTAATTAGCGCATACGATTAGCATATATAGCTAATTAGCGCAGATAGGAAGGACAGGGAATGCCGAGGGGAGTCCGGACCCACCGCTGGGGGGGGAGTCCGGACCCACCGCGGGCCCATGGGAGCCCTCGCGGAGCCTTCCATGGGCTTCCCCGCAAAGGCCTCTGCCCCCCCTCTGCCCTGCCCGCCGCCCCCGTCTCTGCCCCTCGTCCCCCCTCGTTTCTGCTCCTGCGCCCCCCTCGTCGATCCTGCCTCCAGTGCCGTCCGCGCACGCGCTGTGACAGTTCCGAGCCTCACCAAAATATATTGTAACTGTGAGGCACTGCTCGCCCACATGCTAAAAAATCATCTGAGCGCCACTCATCGGAGGCGCCCCTCGCCCGCGTCATCCTTCAAATAGTGACCCCGCCATTGATCGTCCTCATCATGCTGGTCAGTTTTTCCGATGTTTCCCTTCTGCCCCTCCAATGCAGAGTGAACCTGGCGAATGTGCCAACGCTCTCTGAATGCAGCGCGAAAAAAGACAAGGCCGCCCGACACGCGCGAACCCAATGAGTCCGCATGCGAAATTTACCACAAGGGCCTCCGGTGGAGCTCCCCATCAAGCACCGTGTGAAGACTGCGATTAAATGGTCTGGGCGGCGGCAAGCAACCTGCGCCGCAAAACCTTTCCGTAGAACTCCCGATGGGCCCGCGAATCGTGCGAGGCAACACTGAATTGGCTTGGGGCGGCGGCTTGAGGCCTGTGCTCCACATTTGGCAACGAAACACGTTGGCCGCGTGCTGCAATGGTCTGGGCGGCGCAATGCGGCATGTGCCACGCACGCCTTCGGAAAGGGTTCCCTACGGGGCCGCGAACCGCGAGACGTGCGTGCTACATTGTCTGGGTGGCGGCGTGCGGTTTGCGCCTGGCGGCCCTTCAGTGGAGTTCCCCCATGTGGCCGCGGATTGTGCGAAGACTGTCGAGATGGCCTGGGCGGCGACGTGCGGCCTGCGTCACCGGCGTCTTCGGCGGAACCCCTCTTATTGCCACGAAGCGCATGGCTGGCGTTTTAAAAAGTCTGAGCGGCAGCATGCGCCCAGCGCTACAAACGCCTTCGATGGGGTTCCGTATGATTGGGCGACGAACCGTTCGATGGGCGTGCTGCTACGGTCTGCGCGGTGGCATGCGCCCTGCGCAACATCAATGCATTTGGTGCAACTCCGCGGGGGTCCGCGAACCGTCAGCTTAATCAACTAAAACAGTCTGGGCGGTGGCAAACGGCCTATCCCACAAAACATTCGGTGGCATTCCCTATGGGGCCACGAATGGCGTGGCGGGCGCGTTGAAAGTGCCCGGACGCGGCTCGCGGCCTGTGCCGCAGGGGCCTTCAATGGAACTTCAAAAATATGGAGACGCGAACCGCGAAAGAAACGGTCCTCAAAGAACCTGGGCGGCGGCGTGCGGCCTGTGCTCTGTGGGATCTCGGTTGAGCTCCTTATGGGGCAAGCGACCTTGTGAAAATGGTCCTGGAATGGTCGGCGAGGCGGCGCGCGACCACGACGCGTCGGCAGGGATGCGCGCGGGGCCATAACGCGTGCTAGATTTGTCGCGGCATCGGCATGCGATTTGCGCCACATGGACTTTCAATGTAAAACCGCATGGGGACAACGAACAGCGCGCGGCGCGAAGGGCGTGCTGAAATTGCCTCGGCGCGGCTACAAACCGAAAGCCCACCGCGCAAGATGGAAGGGGATGGGCGATGAGGAAACGAAGCGGGGAGGAAGAATATCAGGAAGAGGAGGGCGAGGAGAGGGGGGGGGGAGTAGAGGAGTAAGGATGTGGCGTGAAGCGCCGCGAATTCAAAGCGAGGGCCTAAGATGCAGGAGGGCAGGGGACAGAAGCAAAAAGACATCGAAGGCTACCCGCGACAAGCGCGCGCCGCGCGCGCGCCAGGCAAACCAGCGGGGCGCCGGGCACGCGAGGCGCAGTGGCCACGCCAGGCACATTGCACGCGCAAAACGAAAATCACAAAAATACCAGCCGCGCCAAGCAGATAGCGGGATCACCCGCCAACGCGCCCGCGCGATGCTCGCGCCGCCTCGCGCTGCAAGGAATCCCCAATCAGCGCCGAGCCATCGCCGGGCTTCCAAAGGCACACCGCGCTACATGTTTAAATGGACAGCAATGTTTGTTCGGAACGGCACCAGGCCCTGAGGGGCGAGCGCGGACCTGCAATTCCATGTCCGGCAACGCCGGCAATGAGAGCCGCCGAGCTCGCGCGCGCTATAACCATCGACGGGGCCGCCGGCCTCGAGCCCTCCGGACGCGCTGGCATACGTCGGTTCATCTCGCTTCTGCCCGCGCCCAACAAGGAACTCAACGCGCGCCCGTCCAGGGGCTGCCGCTGACCGCAGCCCTCGACACTCTCCAGAGGCGCGGCGGGTTCGGCCCCGATTGGCTGGTAAGCATTGAATCCGCGCCCGCAACGCCCAGCGCCGCCGCGAGGACCTCGTAGAGCCTGGGCCAAGCCCTCGCCTCGAGCGCCTGCCGGTGGACAGCGGCCTCAACTGCCGCGGCCGCCGCCTCGCGCGCCCCCCGACGATCCCGGTTTGAGCGCCGCGCCGGCGGCGCGGCCAGCCGTTCCATGGCCGACCTCCCGCGAACCACCGCGCCAACCCCCGGTGATGATGGCGATGATGGCGAGGAGAAGAGAAGGAGGAGGACGATGGCGATGGTGATGCTGATGTTTTTGATGATGACGATGGTGATGATGACGATGATGATGGTAATGATATCAAATGTGAGAATGATGCGACTTAGCGCAATGGCAAAAAAGGGGCCCTAGAGGACAAACGGTAGCGAGTGATGCATATACACACGTGACATACGCACTATCTCACACCCGTGAAACTTTGTCACGAGCTAGCCAGTTGTCCGCGCAGTACCGCTGGTCTCAGTACGTCTCTAGGGGCAGTACATGCACATTCCCATGTTAGGATTGCTCAAGTCAAAGGCAGTCAGGACTCAGTCACTCACTTCCCCAATGGGATAGCATTCGTCCTGGCCCTCGCCAGTCGTTTCTTGACCTTCTTCAAAGTAGATTCAGGGCCTGGAGTTACGTCATACGAACTTGCACGTAAGATCTTAACATGGAAATATGTAGGCATAATCTGCCCCAGACCATCAACAGCCAGAATACTTGCATCGACCCACCGGGTCTTATCACAAAATATGCGTGGATATAAAATATCTACTGCTGCCGTTCCAGAAGTCCAAATACCCTGTCTTGAACTGCTTGAATCGATGCTCAAGCGCTTATCTTCTGTCTTACCCACAGTTGGTGCTGTGATATGTTCCTCGAGGCTTTTGGAATCAGCCATCCACAAGTGTCTCATAGACATGGCTGGTTTGTCTTCCCAGTTGGTTGGCGGCTTCTTTCCTGCGCCAAGCATCCCGCGCGCATCTGCGATGGCGGCGCGAATGTGTGCGCCAGACTCTACGCCCCATAAACAAGCCAGGGTCTCTGCTTGCCGTGTAGATTTACATGCTCGTTTGATAACCTTACTAGAAATACATATAGGGTGAACCTGATCACTGTTCCCCTCGATGAATCCAGGCCCTGCGAGTCCATTGAACCTAGCCCTCTGTGGCCTGAGAGGCCCGATTCTACCCTTGACTCCGCCCTCTTCTCCTGCCCAGCTGTCGCCTGAAACAATGCGAACTATCATCTTGATTCCACTTAACAGCTCCACCTTTGAATGCGCGCCCGCAGTCAGCGGCCCGAGTTGCTTCTTCTAATGCACGGTTGGGTGTTTGAGAGGAAGTGCCTGAGCGCGACGCACTGCAGTCTGCAGTCTGCTCACACGATGGAATAGCTCACTCAGGTTTACACTGGCGTGCAACCCATGACAAAGCACCTACGACCGATCTAAGCTGTGCTGTCTCGCCCTCAGTGCATTTTCTCGCGCGGGGGGCTGTCTCCACGATAGGACGCAGCCTCGATACTCTCAATATTGTCCTCGGCCGCAACACTCGCCGTAAAATCTTCATCTTGAACAACTTCGAAGCCGCGGTGGCGGAAATTATCGGACGTGGTCTCGCGAAAATCGAACTCTACTAATACCGAAACGATGATTCTCTGACTTTCATCATCAGCAGCCCACAGTGCGCCATCCACAGGCGCACCTCACATACACGTGATTTCGTTCTTGTCATTCTGACTTCTGAAAAATGCAGGCGCGATGCGATTCTCATTCAGACCACGAGCTGCAAACCTTCTGCGAATATTCTTCCACTAGCCTCGCCCTGCGCCACGCGTGCCATAGACAGACATACGCGCGATCAGTGCTCCACCACCCGGTACTCCTTCGAGTCCGTCGGCCGGTGGTTTGAGCAGCATGGGGCGGTCGAGCCCCTGCCCCTGGAAGCACGCAGATGTAATGTCGGCGCACTTGAGCGTCTTCTTCGCGTCGGCAGCCCAGGATACTATCAACCTAAACCCTTTCAAGTTCGCACGTTGGTGCATCCGCACGGATGCCCAACGACTCTTCCGAATCTCCACGCACGACAAGTCTACTCTTGCACTGCGGTGTAGGTCCACGCGGACTGCGGAGATGTTCATTCTTGGCAATCTCAATCCATCGCGTAGGTACCATGCGGTATCCTTCGCCAAAGGGATTTTGCAGTTCCACGGAATCAATGCGCACGGCGGCGTTGGGCTTCCGCCATTTTCCCCAGTCGTCTTGTCTTGCAATTCGTAAACCGCTTCCTACGTCCTCAGATTCCCGATGGTCGACCAGATTCATTGCACTCTGTAGCTTCTTCTTAGATTGCCACTTGTGAACGGCGCGTTCACTGGGGAATCCGACAAACAACTCACGTGGCTTAACAGCGAGCGAAGCTTTTCTACGAGCCAGCAGATCCATGCCCGGCTCTGTTGCCCCAGCCCTGCGCGCGGCCTCAAGAAGTGGGTTCGCTGGTTCGGGAGCTGGCTCCGAGACAGAATCGGGAACCCTTCCCGCACTACCATCGGCATTCTCGACTCTTCTGCGCATCACTTCGTTACGTGCGGGACGTCGTCTAGTAGCGACCTCCGAAGGGGCGCTCGAGTCACCCGCGACGACCTCAACGCGGGCGGCACGGGGGCGATCATCCCATCTGACAGTTCATCTTCCTCCATTTCGCGAAATGCTGCCTCTATGAACTCGGGGTCCTCTGGGGCCCCCGGCAACTCTTCCGTCGCTCGCCCACGAACGACTGCCGTTGCCCGTGCGAACCTCTCAAAGCCACCGCCATGGTGCTGAGAGAGATATTGGTAAACCAGCGCTTCCGCCGCTGCGCGCGGTCCAGGCCTGTCGACAGCCACGCAGACTGGCGCGCCCTCTGCGATAACCCATGCGTTCTTGACATCGAATCCAACGATACGAGAACCAGTGCCCCACTTAACGGTAACCTCGCCATCGGTCGGCCTCTTGCGAAAGCATGCTACATCACCTACCTGGTATTCTCCAGCTAGTGGCGTCGCCTTTCGGGGAGCGACCCTTGCCGCCCCACCCCCGACGCCGTGCTCTGCGAAGGCTTTTCTGGCGGACGCCCGGGCCGCAGCCTGGCGAGACAACTCGTCGGCTCTGTCCTCTGCAACATTCGCAAGCACTCCTACGTCGAAAGCTTCCTCGTCGCCGAATTGACTCCCTTGGACACGAAGCACCTTCCCGAGTATCCACTGAGCAAGCGTAAATCCGCCGACTCGTGCCATCTCACTCTTCGCGCTGTCGACTTCTGATGAAGCGTCGAGTCCGGAAGCATTCTTGTCGGGCACCACCTTGAAGATGTCCTTCCAAAGTCCACCGTGTCTCTCGGCGCGGCCCATCTGCCCGGGAGACTCGACTCCGGCGTCGCGGAGGTCAATCCCTTGACTCTTAACCCATTGCAGCAACACTTCTCTGTCGTGGAGTCCACGGTCCAACTTCTCTTGGGCTTGCCTGCCCATGCACGCCAGCGCCGCTGAAGCGCAGCGAGGCGCGCTCTCGAAGATGGCGCGCCAACTCCTTGCTCGACAAAGATCACGCGCTGAAGTGTGCACCCTGGCACGCTATGTTCAAGAAGGTGTAGCGTTCTCCACTGTTGCCCTTCACCTCTAGACAGTCGATACCGATTCCACGGTTGAAACAGAACTTCTTGGGCAAGGCAGCCTTGTGAGTCTGAGCTAGCGGTTTGCGATGTTCGCAATATTCACATTGATAATTCTTGGCGGCTGCAGTGGAGTCCGATGACATCCGGGAAATTCTCAATAGCTGCACGAGAACACGATTAGGCACAAAACCAAACTGTGTGCGCAGTCGTCGAATTGCGATTATTGTGCGGCGCGGGATCTGCAAAGACGCTTTCCTTCCCTTTTCCATCGTGTTTCGGCTCGCCCGGTAGGTTGTTTTATTCCGGGATATCTTGTTCGTCATCTCGCAGGCGCTCCTCATCGCCGACGTCGCCATCGCCGATGATCGCGCCCGCATCGTCTCGAACTCTCTCCTCTGCGGCTTCAGCGGGGAAAGCTGTCAGCGCAAGTCTATCCAGTCTAACTGTCTGGCCGAATTATTTGAGGAGCTCGAGGAATTTCTGACTCGCGACGTCCGCGTCTGACTCGAGGCACGAGCTCAGCGCGCTAGCGACCTCGCGGCTTGAGCAACCAGGCTCATAACCGAGCGCAAAAAGTTAGAGGGGCATTCTCTTGAGCCAAACCAGAGAAGCAATCACTGATCACATGAACATTGTGGATGACGATGTGTAGGCGACAGCGAGACCAGGACTGCGCTCGCCGACGTCTTTCGCCACCGAAGGCCCCCGATCTGGGCGCGCCGCCGCGTCGCTCAAGACTGCGCAGGCGAACGCGACGCCGATGGCGTAGAGCAATGCCCCGGCCAGGTTGGTCCCCACTCGTCCCCGAAGCGGATCGGTGTTCCTGATCACGTTCTCGACGATTTTCTCGTTGGTAGCAGACGTGCCTGGCGCGGACAGCTCGGCAATGCACGCGGATAACATCTCATCTTGCATGCTGATGCTACACAATCCAGAACAATATGTGCCGCGACTTTTGGAATTCACGGTAGTCATATCATGCTGGTCAAGCTGCCGGGGTGGGCCTCCTGGGGCCGCCGGGCGCCTCCTGCTCGGGGCCCCCTGCAGGGCGCGAGGAGGGAGACGGCGCGCGAACACAGCTCTCTCTCTCTCTCTCGACAGCGGGCTTGCGCTTTGGTGGTGGCATCATAGCAGGCAACCCAGGAGGGCGAACGATCGTGCCCTTAGGTTTGAGCGCGCCTGCGCCGCTACAAGAGGTGTTCCTGGTTGGGCCCACCCCGAATACTCTTCCCGACAATTCCCTTTCTATCCCGCTAGTTCCTTTGCTCCCCTCAAACCGTTCACGATAATTCCCGCTAGCTCCCCTGTTCCAACTGCTGCTTACGGGCGTCAGTCATACTCGGTCTTACATGGTCACCCTATATTACACGTAGAACACAATCTGAATATAAGACATACACTATGATGACGATATGAAGAATCGGCTGGCCGGCGCGCACATCGAACGAGTCGAAAGAGCGAGACGCGGAGGAAGGATGCAGGTGAGGGGAAGACGACAAGAGGGGACGACGATCAGGAAGCGACGGAGGGAAAAAGTTGGGAAAGGCAGCCGAAAAAAAAGGGGAGCAGCAGGAAGGGGAGGAAGAGGGGCAGCAGGAGGGGGAGGAGCAGCCGACACGGGGGCCATACCCCCGCGCAGCAGCGCGAGGGGAGCAGCAGGAGGGGGAGGAAGAGGGACAGCAGGAGGGGGAAGAGGAGAGGAAAAAGGGCCGTCACCGGAAAGAGTGAGAGGAGGAGGAGGAGGAGGAGGAGGAGGAGGAGGAGGAGGAGGAGGAGGAGGAGGAGGAGGAGGAGGAGGAGGAGGAGGAGGAGGAGGAAGAGCAGGAGGAGGAGGAGGAGGAGGAGAGAAGGAGGAGAAGGAGGAGGAGGAGGAGGAGGTGAGGAGGAGGAGGAGGAGGAGGAAGAGGAGGAGGAGGAGGAGGAGGAGGAAGAGGAGGAGGAGGAGGAGGAGGAGGAGGAGGTGTGCTTTCCCCTGTTGGCGGTCGGTGCTGTCGTCGGTGCTGGCGCTGGCGCTGGCGTGGGCGGCTGGCGGCGACGCCGGCGCTTCTGGAAGGCTCTCGGCGAGGCGCAACTGCAGGAGAGCAGCCCGAGCTCCCCCGCCCCTCGCCCCACATGATTTTCATTGCTGGGGATTACCGTCCAGGGCTACGGGGATTACCATCCAGAATTAACGGGCCTCCCGGGGACCTCCCGGGTCTTCCCGGTAATTTCCCAAAAAACTGAGATGCTCATAACTAGTTCCGGTAGTTGTGGGGAAGTTGTGGTAGACAATGTTAATTCGATCCAGATCTTAATTTGATCGCCCAGATTATAACTTGTTCTGTCAGATCTTACATAACTTGAGCGGTGCAAGTTGTGGAAGATACGGAAGTTATTTTTTGTTTGCTGAAGCGAACTGTGTAGCGTGGAAGTCTTTTGTTTAAAGAAAAACATGCGTTGCGAACGTAGGTGTCGAACAATTGCGCTATGCCTGCCGCCCCATAGCGTTGTGTTGATGTTTGTTTCTCGAGCGCTTTGCGATGCATTCAATCATTCGTTTCGCGCCCCCTTCGGCTCCTCCTCCTTCTCCTCATTTTCCTCCTTCGCCTTCTCCTCCTACCAACGTACCAAGCTCCCCCTCATCCGTTTCCTCCTTCTCCTCCTCCTCCTCATCCTGCTTCTCTTTCTGCTCCTCCTGGAGCCTGGAGCGTGAAGGTCTGTATTTCCTCCAGGATGACGAGAAGGAGGAGGAGGAGGAGGAGGAGGAGGAAAAGGAGGAGGAGGAGGAGGAGGAGGAGGAGGAGGAGGGGGAGGAGAAGGAGGAGTTCCCCCTCCTCCTCCCCCTCCTCCCTGTCCTCCTCCCTGTCCTCCTCTTCCTCCACCCCCTCTCCTCCTCCTCCACCCCCCTCCTACTCCACGCCCCCCCCCCCCCCCCCCTCATTCCCCCAATGCGCCACTGACGCCCCCCATTCTCTTGGCCTCTTGCCAGTTCTCCTCCTCCTGCTCCATCCTCCCACCGCCTCCTCCTCCTCCTCCTCGTCCTCCTCCCCTCCTCCTCCTCCCTCGTCTGTCTGTCTGTTTGCTCATTCGGCGACGACGTCGGCCTCGCCTCCTCAGGAGGAGGACGAAGCAAAGATGAGCGCCGAGGAGAAGGGGCGTGGATGGGGGGAGGAAGGAGGGGGGGGGAGGGAGAAGGAAGGAGGGAGAAAGGATGGG